AAAATGTATCTTAATAGTTTGATGTGAATCTTAATTTTGAAATAAAAATCTGTGTTTTGTTACTTTACCCACAAAGCTGTAACTGTAGATGCTGGCCAGAACACAACAGGCATTTTCAGATTTTGATTAAAGAGCTGAAATAAAATTCATAATAACCATGTTATACAGCATGGACAGCATCATGATCTTTAGACGTTAGCACTGTGCCTGACCTTTGGCCTCATACCTCTTCACAGAAGACAGCAAGATTTGAGAAAAATTCTCTTTTGGTGATAGAGTGGCACAAAATGTGAATGAGGTCAAATGTTGGATCATTAGAGTGGGAGGAGGGATCCCACTGGTGTTCATATCTGAAAGGACAGGAAGATTGTTGGTAAGTAATCAGCGCTCGGGCCTGTTTTAGACTAAAGTAAAATCTGTCATGACCTCAGAGGATTTGGAGAACGTCAGCCAGCACAGACCTGTCAGCGCACACACACACCTGTCTTTCATTAGTCAGCCACAGACTTTTGCAGTGACAGATTGGTGACCTCATTAGGACTTAAGTGAAATATACTACACTCCCATATTTTACCACAGATACCAAACTTTAACACACAAATTAGATAGAGCCTTCTCTCTGAACCTTCAGATCAGCATGTTTAACCACTTTCTGCATTTTCTCACTTAATGCAATTAAAACACATATACATGTTGATATATATCTTTAATGGTATTATTACATAAAGAATTTTGTCGTACATACATTTTTATGAAAAAACAATCTGGTAGAAAAAATATTGCTCTGGGATGCGATCACACAACGCAGTGGCAACACAGAGCATTGTAACAAGACACACAGAAAATGCTTCATTCATGTGCTACATGCTTTTCATAAGAAATATCAGTTGTACAGCTGAATACAACAGAAACACTGGCTAACACTTGGCTACAATGGCTTTATTCCACTGTAATAAGCGGTGTAATAACTTTAACATATGAAGCTACATTTTTTTTACTTCTCCTCTATGATCGTGTTCATATTCTGTTGCCATGTTCACCAACAATGTGTGTTCGATTGTAATTGGTAAAACTGAGGATGGATGTGGTAATGCTTACGATTACAACAATATAATACAGCACGTTTAAATTATTATACAGCTCTGATGGGTGTAAGTGTGAGTTTGACACTGACCTGATCATGTTTTGAAGATACAGCCAAGAGACTCACAGCAGTGCCTAAAATAATATATAGAATTCTGTTTATGGACACAAATTTCATCCTGTTTTCTCACCTACTTAAATACAGTTTGTTTATTTATCAACCTTAACTCATATCTGGGTAAATATCGTTTTTTTAGGTATAACAGCCAAAAAAGTTTCCGTTTGGTGGCAGGAGTGTTGAATGTGATTTCTTTGGTTTGGCGTATGAAATAAAACTACTTCATGGTTTGGGTTATAATAAAACTGCTGCCGCCGTTTTAAAAGCGTGGTTTTCGTGGTTGCCTCCGAGGTGTCTCACATATTAAATATACATTACTGTAGGTGTAAAACTTTCCTACAATTGAAATACGTTTGAAGTTTTGTAAACCAAAAACCTCCATGTACGCAAACAAATAGAAATATTTCTTTTTTCTGTGAGACAGGGTGGCTTCATAACGTCAGATGAGACAATCTTATGTGTCCCTACAAAAAGTGCAAAGTAAATATAGAGTGTTCTGACACGCGTTTAAAACGTTTGCACTCACTAGTAGTTTCGTCATAGATTAATATGCATTTTTTTGCCAGTGGAGTAAATTCATGACACTGATTTCAAACAAGTGTTTTATAAAATGTGCAGCAGTCTCCAATAAGTCAAACAGTTACATTAAAGACAATATTTGATTTATAAACCAAACTCTGAGACATTCTGCGTTCCTCGCCACCAAGCTTTTCTTTTTTCCCCTGAGATGTCCCGATGCTCCTATGAGGTCATTGCCATCTGATACACCTACAGCTCGAACCTTCCTCTACACAAGCGGCGGCTCTTCCTTGGCATCTTTATCCCTGTGGTGACGGCGGTGTGCGCTCCTCCTGGGTGGAATGCTGG